TGGAGTGCCTCTATTGGCTTCTACTTCTGTTTCTTTCTTGTCTTGACCTTCAGATGACCAGATCTGTAAATGGGAACTGACTTTTTGTTTACTTGAATAGGACTATGTCCCACAATATAAGCTTGGATCTTGTTTTATTCTGGCCCTGGACTCCATAAGCTGATCTATTTATATTCAATCTGAAGTGAACATACCTTCCCTTTAGAACTCCTGTAGAACAAATAATTAGTTTGAATTCCTGAGGAAAGCTTCTATAAGTATTGTTTAAAATATCTCGTGGAACAAAAACCATGTGGTCTTTTTCCCCCCCTCCTACAACAATTCCTATCTTATACTCCACCCCCGCTTTTCAGACCCCCCTCGTTTTCAGAAATGGATTGCCATGTGTCCCATAGCATGGCTGCTTGAGGCTTGAATGTGTGTAGGTTTAATATGTATACATATGTATAGTTTAATATGTAAACTACAGCATATTTCAAGCAAATAAAACATAGTTTTCCTTTGTCCTCTTCTCCAGTCTCCTTCGTACAACTGTTTTGGAATTTGCATGCAATATGGAGGACCCAGAAGCTTTGGGGAATGCCTTTTTGTTGTTTAAGAATTGGACGAGTGGAATAAGGTGACTATGCATGTTTAGGTGCAGATGCAGAAGGTGTCCAAAGGCAAAGTGAAATGGAAGATAGGCCTCTTTCGCTAATAATATCATTCTCTTCCATGTTAGTCTAGATGTAAATCTTCGTCTCCTGGTGTACCGTTTTGGGATGCAGAACTCAGGTGATGAGCAAGCCTGGAATTATATGTTTGAGAAATACAGAACTGCAACATTAGCTCAAGAAAAGGAGAAGCTACTCTACGGCCTGGCATCAGTGAAAAACATAACTCTGCTGAACAGGTTTCTTGAAATTATCTTTAACTTTCTATATTAGAAGTATTCATTTGCTGTTCTTAAATCCTGGTTCTCAAAACAACAAAAAAGGATTGGTGGAGGAACATGAAGCAGAGGTTCTGAGCATTCTTAGTAGGCATTAGTAGGCATTAAAGCAGGAAGCAAGTGGTTCTTAAAAGAATCAGTGATTAATTTCCCAATAGATATGATGCTATCTTTCTAACATCCTTTCACTAATGTTTACACCGGGGCCATGGGCTATGGTTTCATATACACAGGGTTGTCTAAAGCAGTAGTTTTCAACGACTGTGTTTTGCTGCCCATGAACTGCAAAGTTCCTTGAAATTGATCAGGGAATTCTTTAATTCACAAGCAAAATAATGGACAACTTCCCCAAAGCACCATAAGCTAATCTGACCTACCAATCTTGCAAACTGGAACTGAAAGGGAGTGCTAGATGTGCTTTGTTCAAGTAACCAAGAAGCCCAAGTGACTTAGACAGTGCCTGAATCATAGCCAATGCCATATTTAATTCAGAAATCTATCGAGGTCTAATCTAAAGCTTCGTACTCAACATGCTCCTTTCATCTTTCTTGATTGATGTCTGGAGAATTCCAAGGTTTTTTTAGGTTTCTTATTTCATGTAAATTAGGTTGAGAAAAGCAGTTTAAATCTCATTTTCTATGCAATCCTAAAGAAGTGCTAATCATCAGATATAATTGCTTGTTTTGTTTCTAGATTCCTACATTGCATCAAAAATACAACTCTCATAAGAAGTCAAGATGTGTTCACTGTCTTGAGATACATCTCCTTTAATAGCTATGGCAAAACAATGGCTTGGGACTGGGTACGCCTCAACTGGGAGTATTTGGTCAAACGGTAAGTGCTGGGTCCCTAGACAGTTCATTCTCTTTATGAAGCCACCTTGATTTTTGTTGGGGAAAAAAGCACCTAAATATAAGAATATTGAATTTTAACATCTCCAAGTGCTATCAAAGCTGGAAGATAAGTTTCCTTCTTGCTGTTGTTTTCTGTTTTATGAAAACAGCACACCTTTAGATTGTTGTTTGCATAATAAATTTAGAAATAATATTTATGCAGCACTTTCTCAAGACATTTGGTACCCCTTGTCACATCACATGAGCAAGAACCAAATGCATGCCTGCAGATGAAGCTGGAAGAGTCTCAAATCTCCAGGGCCTGATATTGCTGGTGAGCCATGCTGGAAAAGGGAATTGAACATGTCCATAGGTCATATGTCCCCTATTCAGATTCTGGGTTAAAAAAAAAGAATATGCTTATTTCTGTGATTGGAATAGCCTCTGGACTCTCCTGCTTTGATGGTCTATAGAAATGTGAAATGTGAAATGTGAATTGAAACAAAGGACAGAAAAGGTCAATCAAAGCAGGATCAAGCCAAGAGCTAGTTTGTATCTAGAGCAGGGGTAGGCAACCTCCCAGAATTCCTGAGCCAGCATGGCTGGCTCAGGAATTCTGGGAGTTGAAGTCCACCAGTCATAAAAGAGCCAAGGTTGCCTACCCCTGATCTAGACAATGCTGATAGTTTTACTAAGATTTACTTCATAGCATTTAAAGTCTGCCTGAACAAGTACCAGGGCTGCCTTCAAATTTTGAGGCTTGACAAAATGTCTTCTGGAATGTCCTGTGCTAGGTTATGGAACTCCAGGGAGGCTTGTTTAATAGCAGGTTCTCTCCAATCAACACAAAGAGTAAGCATGACATTGTTTTGCTGACAGATTACTCTGAGGAAGGAATCAGTTTCAATTTCCTACATAGTCAGGAACATAGGGATGGGAAATTAATGTGTCTATTTCCTTGAGCGTATAGGATCCCAATTAGGTTCAATCCCTATCAAGTGGCCATTAGCTGTAGAGATGATGATGATGATGGTGATTCTATTTCCATTATTTTATCTTGAAAACCAATATGTAGTAGCCACCATGTTTAGCATACATAAATATGAATGTGGTTTTTTTCACAGATACACTCTTAACGATAGAAACCTTGGACGCCTAATATCAAGAATATCAGGAACATTTAACACAGAGCTCCAGCTTTGGCAGGTAAGGACACAACCTGGTTATCTACTGCTCAGCTGTCCAATTTTCTTGATATGAAAAATGCCAAGATACTCTTCCCCATTTCCTCTTCTAGGTGCACCTATTTAATGAAATGGATGTTGATAGGGGAGAGAGATTTCTTGATTGTGGCACTAGGCAACCAATACAAATTTGCCTAGTTTTGATGTTATAGTCTTTGGGGGCCTGTATATTCTCCTGGCACTTCAAAAGCAGTTTTAATGGGCATGTATGTAAGCATTAACTAAAATGATAAAACCAGAACATGAACATGGGAATGGAAATCTAATAGGAATATTGCTCCTATCACTTTTTGATGGCACACTAAATACTACAGTACAATACATACAGTAGTACATTTCAGCTCAAAGCTAGCACAGAAGGCCACAGTTCCCCAAAGGACTGCCTCTACAATATAAGTCAATCAACTATAACCCCCTCCCTCCACAAAACAAAACAAAGTAAACTAAAACAATAACAAATCAAGGGGAAAATTCATATCCAGCCCCAAGCCTCAAGTTTGTTGCAGCCCTCAAAAGTTAATAAAAAAGAAATAAGAAATTGCAGTCCTTGCTGGCAATAAAGTTTCCTAATCCATCCTAAATGTGTTTATTCACAGGTCTTATATGGTCACCTAGCTCATGTATCTGTTTGTTTTCCCCAATTGTCAGAAGGTCTTGTTCTTTTCCACTCTTTCTAGTTCTCCTGTAAATAGTTTCTAAAAGTGGTATGACTCAGTTTAAGGTTAGGAGTAATTTAGATTGAAGCTGTATATGGAAACAAAGAGTTGGACCTATACATATCCCAATACTATCACAATCCAAACCAAGCAACTCACTCATTGTTCTTAAGGAAGAAAAGAAATATGGGAAGTTATAACCAAGAATGCTTGCAGAATGCATAGTTAGCCCTTCCCTAATAATGTAACATGAAATGTGTCACCATTGATGTAAACTTGAATAGTCTGTGAATGGTCTATCTGCTCTGGGACATTTCCTGGTTCAAACACATTATCATAAAAAAAAAGAATCAGAACAAAATATAAATTATAGACAAGCTAGACCACTACAATGAGATGAGTCATGCCAAATTTAGAAATCAATTCAAGGACTTTCAAGTTTTGCTACTTAAAAAAAGTTCTATAAGGTCCTTGCTTTGGGGGCAAATGATTTTGCAGAAAAAACGACACTTTCGTGAAGAACATCTTTGAAAAAATTAAAACAGCTAGATGGCAGACTGTAAAAAGAGGAGTTAATGATGGTAACCTTTGATAATGCACACCTTTTGCATCAAAATCATCAGAAATCTAAAAGATTGGCTCATTGGTCTTTTCCTATCAGCTAGTTAAGACAACAGATCAAACACTGCCAAACAATGTGTAAGGGTGAAAGTCTAGTAAAAATCAGGTGGTGTGGATAGTAAAACAGAAGCTGTCTTTGGCTTCAGGAATTCTCCAGATTTCTGCTGATATGTTGACATGAGTCACTTAAACCAGAGTGATTAGAAGGGTCACTTTGAGTTAAGGCTATACTTGTTGGTCAGTAAATGCAGTCTCCTCCTTCTCCCAATCATGGTATTTCTTTCAACCAGAACATTTTACCATGACGACCGTGAGACCAAAATTCTAGTACAACAAATCAGGAGTTTAAAATCAAAATGAGGCGTGATAAAATTGTTCACTCTATATCAGTGATGGCGAACCTTTTAGAGACCGAGTGCCCAAACTGCAACCCCAAACCCACTTATGCATCGTCAAGTGCTGGGTGGGTGTGGCCCATTGGGTGGGTGTGCCCATTGGGTAGGTGTGGCCAATTGGGTGGGCATGACTGCAGTGGTAACGGCAGACTGGGTGGGACTAAAAAGTTCAATCAATCAATTCCAACTTTGCAAGAACTTTTTTTTTCCCATGAGAAGTTGAAATTGACTGATTGAACCTTTTTTTTGTTATTGTTGCACACAGCGGCGGAGGCCTAAAGCGAAAAGGTTTTATAAAACCCAGCTGAAGGCCTAGGACTGGGGCGATGATGCGCGTGCCCACAGAGAGGGCTCTGAGTGCCGCCTCTGGCACCCGTGCCATAGGTTTGCCACCACTGCTCTATATCATGTAAATTATAACCTGTTTTGAATTACTCTGATCTTCAGAATTCTGGCTTCATTCCAAATCCAACGTATAGAATTAGACTAGATGCATAACAACCCAACCAGGTATATCAGAGCTCAAAACCTGTTTACAAAGTATATTTGATAATTAAATACTGACTTGTAGATATATGAAAAATTCTGCAAACTGGAGATACACGAAAGTGTTTAGTCTTCTGAGAAACCAGTTCTATGTCATTAATATTTGCACATGTTTTATCTTCTTAAGATGGAAAATTTCTTTGAGAGATATCCTGATGCTGGCGCAGGGGAAGCCTCAAGAAAGCAAGCTTTGGAAACTACAAAGAGCAACATCGAATGGCTAAAACAATACCGAGATGATGTAGCAACCTGGCTTGAAAATACAGAGCAGCCAAACTTTGTATAATTGAGTCTCAGTCCCCATGAAAATTCTTAGGATTCTTTTTTTAAATCTTACCAACATGGTAATTTGCAAAATACTACATTTAGATTTTGACAGATATGTCAACTTTGAAATACATTAATTTATTGAAATATATATTGAAACTAGCCAGCCAGTCATTCTTAAATGTTCCTATAAATGTTTCTAATCTCCTAGAACATTTTTTCTCATTTCAATTGGACAAAATGTAAAATTATCATTTGCATAAACATAGGATCTCATTACCTTTATGAGCATTACTGATGTTTGTACTTAACCACATATTCGCCACTCTGAAAATGAATCTTTTATACAAAAATATTTATTATTCCATGTGTTCAGGAGGTCCTTCCAAATAAAACTTCATAGAATCCATTCCAAAGGGAGGGCTTTGCCTCTATTCAGAAAATATATATATTCTCCTAAGAAAGAAAAGCACTAACCCAATTTTGGCGGGGGGAGGAGGTAATCACAAAATTTTGAGAGAGAGAGAGAGAGACAGACAGACAGACAGACAGACAGACAGACAGACAGATTAAAGTTATTGTTCTAAAGTGACTTTGAGAAACGCATAGCTTTAATAATGACTACATCTATGGCAATTGATGGACATGCAGTCTGGCCTTATGTTATAGTATCGGTACATTTTTTTTTAATATCCAGCTCTCACCTCCATGTATCATATAATCTTATATGCAAACACTAAGTTCTCTCACACATTTAGGCAATCTTGAAAATTTTCAGCCATTTGAGATTGGATTTTAACAATAAAAAAGGCTATGATACTATTTTATAAACAAATAATTTAACCTTTCTGAAATGGGCACTTTATATAGTAACTGAGCACTGCTGAGAAAAACATCTAGAAATTAATTACTCCAAAACCAAGGCACATGTCTGACACCAAACAATCATTCAATAGAGCAAATTAAGACCTTGAAATGTCTGGATATTGTTTTCCATGGGACAGGCAACCATAAATTCCACGCCAGCTTTAAGTCCCATTGTATCAGCTTAAGTCCACAAAAAAGCATCGACTTCACAATCTTTCCACTTCTCCAAAGGAGTTCAAATGTACCTGCAGGAACTAATGTTTTCTCAGCTAAGATCTGAGCCCAGCTGTGGGGCACCTACAGGTTATTTCTTTCTCTTGAAAGAGTTCAGTTCAAACTTCTGAGATCTATTTTTCAAGCACCTTGCTTCTTTCCAAATGGGGTGTTTTGCCGTGAAGCTGGCCTACTTAAAGTAGAAAACTTTCAGCTCAAACTTACTTTTTTCCCCTGCTGACTTGGCCCCTTTAATCATGACTCTCACTCTTCCTGGCAATACTTACTCAATTGCAACCCTATGGCATTACATGGGCAGCTCTCACCCTGAAAGACTGTGCATTAGCTGATCTTAATGGGCTATTACAGCTGCAATCAGATTCATCAGTTCTACGCAGAAATTTTTTTTTTTTGAGCTATTCTGTATATTTGTTCTGACCAGCCAGACACCTAAGCTTCATAATGGTTCCAAAATTTAGAAAGGCTTATCCTTGACTAAATTTAATGCCTCCCTCTAAGAGCGATTACTAAAGGAAGATTCAAAACATCCCTTTGTGTCCCTGAGGTGGATGAATAGTTGAGGCAATGGAACATGTTATTTTATATTGTTCCCTCTACGCAGGAATTATCTCCATTCCTCACTAAACAACCTGGTTGTTCTACCACTCTTAAGCGGTTACTACCTGATCAATCTTATTTTACTTCACAGACCACAGCCAAGAATTGATCTGTAGTTTGTGCAGGACCCTGTAGTATCTCCTCCAAAATTTTTAAAAATATTTTAGAATGTTACGTCTTCCTCTTTTACTTTAATTCATTGTGATTTTTTTTTTATTTGTTGGTCTATGCCTGAATAAATATTAATTGATAATAAAGATTGATTGATAATTTAATCTGTAGTTTTTATGTTTTTATATAAAGATGATGCGAATAAGGTAGTACACCTGAGTGCTTGTATTTCCAGTCCCTGGAATAATCAGTAGTGTAGCAAAATTATCAGCCCCACAAAAGCTGAGACTCTAGAAAGAGTACAGAGAAGAGCAACAAAGATGATTAGGGGACTGGAGGCTAAAACATATAAGGAACGGTTGCTGGAATTGGGTATGTCTAGTTTAATGAAGAGAGGGACGAGGGGGGATATGATAGCTGCCACAAAGAAGAGGGAGTCAAGCTATTCTCCAAAGCGCCTGAAGGCAGGACGAGAAGCAACGGGTGGAAACTGATCAAGGAGAGAAGCAACCTAGAACTAAGGAGAAACTTCCTGACAGTTAGAACAATTAACCAATGGAACCACCTGCCTCCAGAAGCGGTGAATGCTCCAACACTGGAAGTTTTTAAGAAGAGACTGGACAGCCATTTGTCCGAAATGGTGTAGGGTTCCTGCCTGAGCAGGGGGTTGGACTCGATGACCTCCAAGGTCCCTTCCAACTTTATTATTATTATTATTATTATTATTATTATTATTATTATTATTATTATTATTATTATTATTATTATTATTATTATTATTATTATTATTATTATTATTATTATTATTATCAGACCAGGAATCAGCTGCCCAAGAACACTAGAACTATATTTCACTGGGTCAGGTTAGGTTCACAGGATGATGGAAGAAGGATGGGCTTATCTCCTGTGGTGGTTCATCTTGCGCGGCTCCACATGTTCAGGGGTACCTAGAATCAATATGGGGAATGGGTAGGCATGAATACTTCTGGAAACTTGATCTCACTCAGTTTATTAGCTACCCAGTTTTAAATTTATTTCATTCTATGTTTTCATTTCATTTGCACTTCTCAGTAAAAAATCTGCCTCTAATTTTATGCATTTGGGGGCAATTTTTCTTCTGAGATACATAATTTGGTATGTATGTTTTGCAATATAGAGGTAAATACAACTTTCACAGATGCAACAGCATGCATTTTTGTAATTTTAATAAGCATCCATCATATTACTGCATATATTTCTGCCCTACACTCGTATTTTGTATACATGTTTTTGGCTTTGGGAAATCACAATAAATGTCAAGAACCTGACAATATCAAAAGATCATTGTGATTAGTTAAGGCTACATTTACATGCAGACATAATACAAAGAAAAATTGTATTTCTTACTACTTTTTATTCTAAACTTGCTGAAATAACAAACAGATTAAATAATTTTAATATTACAAATCAAAATAGTAAATTATATTAATAAGGTTGCAAGCATGGAAACTTACATTTTATCATTATGTATTAACAGCATCCTCTATTGGCAAAGAAGAGTCATTGCAAACAATTAACATTTTAAGCTGCCTTGTTGCTTAATGCAGGGGTAGGCAACCTTGGCTCTTTTATGACTCATGGACTTCAACTCCCAGAATTCCTGAGCCAGCATAGTTGGCTCAGGAATTCTGGGAGTTGAAGTCCACGAGTCATAAAAGAGCCAAGGTTACCTACCCCTGGCTTAATGCATAGGAACACTTGGCACCTATTGGGACATGAGATTCTTGAGAATGGGGGCTACACTTAAAAAATGAGCACAGTTCAGAAAAATAAAAAAAAAATATTGATGACTTATATTGTGTACTTCATAATTTCGATTTGATTTTTAATGTTGGAAGGGACCCTGGGTGCTACATTTACCTGTGGAGATGGTTACCAGCATCAAATTCCTTCAGTTAAAAAGTAGGCTAGCTTGGTCAGTCAACAATGAGACACTGGTGAAGCAGGCACAACAGTGCCTGCATTTTCTGCATTGCATGAGAAAAGCATATCTTCCTTCTCCTGCCCTTACCACTTTCTACAGAGGGACGATTGAGAGCATCCTGTCATAAAGCATCACAGTCTGGTTTGGAAGCATCACTGCTTCAGTCAGGAAGATGGTGCAGAAACTGGTGAGGATGGCTGAAAAGATTATTGGCTGTTCCCTCCTTTCCATCCAAGCCATAGCATATAAGCATTGCTTGAGCAGGGTCTGTAGTATTGTCTGGGACACTACACATCCTCTTCACGACCTGTTTTCCTTGTTACCTTTTGGGAGGAGGCTTCGTGGTATCTGAAGCAGAACATCCAGATTCAGTCACAGTTTTGTTCCATACAGTATTAACCTTGTGAACTCTCAAGCTTCCTCCTTCCGTTATGTATTCAATATGGACAGTGATTAATATTTATATGTTACTTATATGTAAGGGTGTAGGTCTATCTATACATATGTTGTATAAAGTATGTTTAAATGTGTGTTATGTATGTGTACACTTTGAGAGCAAGCAACTAAATTTCATTTTTAATGTTTGTGTGTCTGTCTGTCTGTCTGTCTGTCTGTCTATCTATCTATCTATCTATCTATCTATCTATCTATCTATCTATCTATCTATCTATCTA